TCACCAGGAAACAGGGACAGAGCAGAGGGAGGAAAAGGGAAAAATCACCAGGAAACAGGGACAGAGCAGAGGGAGGAAAAGGGAAAAGTCACCAGGAAATGGGGACAGAGCTCTGGAGAAAAAGCCACCCTGGGAACGCTTCCAGCCTTGAAGCTCAAGCTGAGTTGGATCCCAAGCACTGCCCTCCCATCCCTGAGCTGGAGAAGGAGCCAGGGATGCTGTGGGAGCTCTGGGACGTGCCCAGGGCTGGCAGCCCCAGAGCAGGAGCAGAGCAGGAGCAGCAGGAGCAGAGCAGGGGTTGAGCAGGGGTTGAGCAGGAGCAGCAGGAGCAGAGCAGGGGTTGAGCAGGGGTTGAGCAGGGGCTGAGCAGGAGCAGAGCAGGGGCAGAGCAGGGGCTGAGCAGGAGCAGCAGGAGCAGAGCAGGGGTTGAGCAGGAGCAGAGCAGGGGCTGAGCAGGAGCAGCAGGAGCAGAGCAGGGGCTGAGCAGGGGCAGAGCAGGAGCAGAGCAGGAGCAGAGCAGGGGCTGAGCAGGGGCTGAGCAGGGGCTGAGCAGCGGCAGAGCAGGGGCTGAGCAGGAGCAGAGCAGGGGCTGAGCAGGGGCTGAGCAGGGGCTGAGCAGGGGTTGAGCAGGAGCAGAGCAGGAGCAGAGCAGGGGCTGAGCAGGGGCAGAGCAGGAGCAGCAGGAGCAGAGCAGGGGCAGAGCAGGAGCAGAGCAGGGGCTGAGCAGGGGCTGAGCAGGAGCAGAGCAGGGGCAGAGCAGGGGCTGAGCAGGAGCAGAGCAGGAGCAGCAGGAGCAGCAGGAGCAGCAGGAGCAGCAGGAGCAGAGCAAGAGCAGCAGGGGCAGAGCAGAGCAGGAGCAGAGCAGCAGCAGCAGCAACAGCAGGAGCAGCAGGAGGAGCAGGAGCAGAGCAGGAGCAGAGCAGGGGCAGAGCAGGACCAGAGCAGGAGCAGCAGGAGCAGCAGAAGCAGCAGGAGCAGCAGGAGCAGAGCAGAACAGGAACAGCAGCAGCAGCAGGAACAGCAGCAGCAGCAGGGGCAGAGCAGGAACAGCAGCAGCAGCAGGGGCAGCAGGGGCAGAGCAGCAGCAGCAGGAGCAGAGCAGAACAGGAACAGCAGCAGCAGCAGGAACAGCAGCAGCAGCAGGAGCAGAGCAGGAACAGCAGCAGGAACAGCAGGAACAGCAGCAGGAACAGCAGCAGCAGCAGGGGCAGCGGGGCTGTCCCGTACCCAGCAGGCCGGTGACACGGTCGGTGACGGCGCGCGACGCGCGGATGAAGGCGTTGTCGCTCTCGTCGTACTTCATCTTCATCTCAAAGAACCCTGCCAGGGGAACACAGAGCTCAGAGCCCGCCCAGCTCACCCCTGACACTAAAAGGGGATTTAGGGTTAAAAGGAAAATTAAGCTTTGTAGGCCCCGAAAAGAAAAATAAATACCCTAAGTACATGAATTCCTTGTACCTTGCTAGAACTGCACCTGTGTAGCTAGTACAGGATAAATGATATAATTGTTAGATGTGATGATTGGTTAGTAATTAAATATAATTACTGTTTAATCGTAATGAGAAACTGTGGTCAGGGGCCTAAGACAGATCATGAGAAACTCATGTCAATGTATACAACAGAACAATGTAAGTTTAATAATTAATATGTAAGTTAAATGTAAGAATAATAATGAGAAACTGTGGTCAGAGGCCTAAGACAGATCACGAGAAACTCATGTCAATGTATACAACAGAACAATGTAAGTTTAATAATTATTATTTAAGTTATATAAAGATCAAATATAAAATTTCAGCTTTCAGCTCAAAAGCCACGTCGGATTTGGGTCTGCACCCCTGATTCCCAGAGCTCTCAATAAAAGCACCTGCATAGAATCATATCCTGTGCTGATGTGTGTTCCTGCAGGGAATGTCCTGCAGGGTCCAACCTCTCCTCAATCCCTTTGTTCAGCACCAGGCACCAGCTGGGAGTTGGTTTTCTCCCCATTTTATTCCCCATTTTTCTCCCCATTTTATTCCCCATTTTTCTCCCTGTTTTATTCCCCATTTTTTTCCCATTTCCCCACAACGTTCTGATCTCTCAGCAACTCCTCCTCTGCTAACACTCAGATTTAACACCTCTGGGAATGGTATTTATCCAGTGGAACGAGCAAATTCAGGATTAGGCTCACTCTGAGCAGTGGTGGAGCATCCATCCCTGGAGGTGGCACTCAGGGCCCTGGGGGTGACAGGGTGGGAACAGGGACAGGTTGGACTTGAAGGTCCTGGAGGTGTTTTCCAACCTCAATTCTGGGATTGTCTCCGGGGCATTTGCACTAGGAACAGCCTCAGATGATATCAAAGCTCAGCTTTACATTCCAGAGAGATCACAGGATTTTTATTTTTTTTTGTTAAAGTGTTTCACCAATTTGGAAGTTGTGTGAAACTCCCTCGATTTTTTCAGGATTTTCCTTGTTTTAAGCTGCAGCTGGGGAGGAGCAGAGCTGTTTTCTCTGTCCCTGGTGCCAGAACAAAGCTGAGGAGGGAGGAACAGGAAACCCCACGAGTTCAGCTCCCTCTGAGCAGGGTTTGCTGCTCCCAGCACAGATGGAGCAGCCTGGAGGAGCTGCAGAGCTCTCAGCTCTGCCTCCAAACCCACAGAGAAAGGTCGGAATTCGGGATTTGGAATTTGAGATTTGGAATTTGGGATTTGATGGGAGCAGATCCAGGAGGGAGCAGGGCTGGGAAGGGAATGTGCTCAACTCACTGTTGAAAACCACGTTGTTGTCCTTGAAATCTTTCCACTGCTGGTACCACTTGGAGTCTTTATGCAGCACCATGCCCATGGCTTCCCTAGAGAGGGCAGAAAACAGGGATAAAATGTGGATATTTGGGAAAAATTAACTTGTAACAAATACAGACAACACCCTGAGGAATATCCCTGCAGCACTTGGCATCACTGAGGCTGAGACAGCACAGAAATGATGAGCTCAATTACAAGATAAATTATGGCCTCATCAATTATAAAATAAATTACCCCATAAATGATAGCCCCATAAATGATCCACCAGACAAATGAAGCACCAGACAAATAAAAAAACCAAATAAATAAAACATCAGATAAACAAAACTCTAGATAAATAAAGCAGTAGACAAATAAAACTCAGAGGAGAAAAGCAGCCCAGAAAAAAGGAGCTCAGCCTTAGTCCAGCAGCAGGAAGTTAAAACTGAACACAAAACAAAGCTCAGCTCAGAACATTAAATTTCCCCTTTAGAATTTGAATTTTCCAGGAAGATCCGGGATCATCCACTCCTGCTGGGAATGTGCTCCCATCCCACAGCTCCTGGATTTTCATCCCTGATCTGGTTTTTACCTTTTCCATCCAATTACACACAGAAATATTCCCCCCCCAAGAGGATCCCCCACGTACTCATTGGCTTCAAACACTCGCTGCTCTTTAATCCTCTCTCCGGAATATTCCGTCCGCTTCCGGAGCCGCTCCGGGCGTCTGTAGGGACCAGTTTGTCCCAAAACACTCTCATCTATTTCTTTCTTAACAGTTTCTACTCCCTGCAAGGCAAACAGCCCAGTTAGTGTGGATTTATTGCTCTTCCAGAAGCTGAAAAATCCCATCCTGCAATGGTTCGGGAGAGCAAAAGGCCCTGGGCACTGCCAGGGCTGGGGCAGGCACAGCTTGGCAATAAAACATTGGCTGTTTTCTGTATTTCCTGCAAAAAGAGGGATTTAAGGAAGTTTAAATCACGCTGGAGAGGAATATTTTCCAGCCCTGCAGCACGCAGCTCCCCAGGAGCTCAGCCCTGCCAGGTGCACAACTCACAGGGGAGGTGCCTGCTGGATTTCACCCCAAAGCTCCCCAAAAAAAGCCACTCCCGAGGCTCAGGGAGCTGAGGGAGCAGTACCTGGGAGATGGCTTTGAAGGCTGCAGTCCTGCCCAGCTTCTCCCCTCCCCTGGTCACCGACTCTGCAGACTGTTTGGCCGTTTTGGCAGCTTCCTCCACCCCCTCCTTGATCTTCCTGCCCAGGTCACTCCTGCTGACCTCATCCAAACTCTGCAAGGGAAAAAAAGGAAAAGTCAATGCAGCTCCATCCCTCATCCCCTCTCCCGGAGCCCCTTTACCCCTGCCAGGGGCTCTGAGCTCTCCCTGGAGCCTTCTCCTCTCCAGCTGAGCACCCCCAGCTCTCCCCAGAGGGGCTCCAGCCCTGGGAGCAGCTCCAGGGGCTCCTCTGGACTCTCTCCAGCAGCTCCACATCTTTATTTTGGGCTCCCAAAGCTGCAGGTGGGGTTTCTTTCTTCTCCATCCCTCAGATTCCAGGGGAATCCCTGGCTGGGTTTCCTCTGACCACACCCAGTTCATTATTTTATGAATGCCTCTGGTTTTAAAAGCTCCAGGAACAGCAGGAGCTGCCAGCAATAATGACAATTCCAGCCCCCCAAAAGCCCAACTTCAGCAGAGCTGCACTGAGGAAAAGTCCTTTTACCTCTTTAACTGTCCCTGTTATTTCTTCAAGTTTCTTTTTAATCACTTCTGAGGTCTTCACTGTTTCAGACTCAATGGTTTTCTGGGGGAAAAGAACATTAATCAAGAGACAGAAACTACTGAAAGCCAGCTTGGAATGGAGCACAATCCATTAAGGCTGGAATTGAGGGCAGAAAAAGCAACATTTCAGGAGTTCATGGCCTGAGTCAGCAGCAGCAGCAGCTCAGCTTTGCAAATGATGATGTTCAGAGCACTCTGAACAGTGCAAAAAAAACCATTTGATGCTCAATTTAATGCCTCATTATTTGATCTGCTCAGAAATGCAGCCAAGTGTCTGCTGGAAAGACTTTCCATTAAAAAAAACAAACTAACTAAAAAAAACCCACAAAAAAATCCCCCAAACATTCCAACAAATAAACACTCTGAGGCATCCATTTAAGAGTGAGTGCTTCCAGCCAAGCAGAACTTCTCCTGAACAGTTCAGCTGTGGATTGAAACGTTCACCCAGAGCAGTAAAAGCTCAATAAAGCAGGGAACAAAGCAGGGAATAAAGCAGGGAACACCCAAACACTCACATATTTCCTCCTTGCTTCCCGCAGCGCGTCCGACTCCTCCAGCTTTTTCGCTTCATCTCGGAATTTTTTAATGCTTTCCTTCATCTCTTTGTTTTTGGCCAACTCCTGTTTGATGTTCTCCACAAAACCTGAGATGAATCCCTTCCTTCCTCCCGAGGAGTAGCATCTGGACTGGAGAAAAGCATTCCATGTTGGAGAATCCCAAGGAATTGGAGCAAACGGGACTCAAATAATTCAAGTTTTGAAGGCAGGAGCTTGATGGGCTTGAGGCAAGCCCTGGATTGCTTTTTTGAACGTGCGGAAAACGTGGAGCTGCTTGGAAAAGCAGCAGCTGAGCCTCCAAAGAGCCACATGGCCAATGGATTTCATGGAATCTCCAGATGGATTGGGTTGAAAGGACTTAAATCCCAGGCAGCTCCACCCCCTGCCACGGGCAGGGACACCTCCCACTATCCCGGGCTGCTCCAAGCCCTGTCCAACCTCAGCCGCCCCAAAAATTTCTTGAATTCCATTCAAAAAGTGAAGATTTTCAGCCTGGAACTGGCACTTCCCAGAGCCACATCCCCATCCAGCTCAGGACTCTGCTGAGAACACAATTTGGGGTGGAAATGGAATAAATTCAGGTGGGACCAACCTGAGGGGTGCCCAGGGCAGGGCTGCTGATCCTGTGCAGGGAACTCCTGGGGAAGGCAGGGATGGGATAACGCCTGGAGAGCAGCCACAGGCCACTGAGGAGACATTTCTGCAAAAAACCAGCACAGCAGGAGCTCAGGGAATGCCCCAAGAGCTGCCAGCACCCGGATTTGGGACAGCAGCGATGCACAAATCCACGCTGGAGCTGAAACGTGAGAAACACAAGGGTTTTTTTTTTCTGGGAAAACTCCAAGCACAACTTTTTTCCCAGCTCTGGAGGATCCCAGAACAATCCCTGGATGGTTCTGCTGCCCTTGCCAAAGTCAAACCTGCAGGTTCCAGCTCTGGAGGATCCCAGAACAATCCCTGGATGCTTCTGCTGCCCTTGCCAAAGTCAAACCTGCAGGTTCCTGTTCTGGAAGGGGTCAGGGCTCACAGCAGGGGAAAATCAGGGAAATCCCACAAAAAAAATCTGTGTTTGCTCAAGAACAGCACAAGAAGCTGGGGGCAGGAGAGCTCCCGGCCACGGGCACGAAGGGATCAGAAATCCCACAGATCCCGGCCAAAGGCACGAAGG